AGCGGTGCCAGCCGGGCGCCGTCCGCCCCTCCCACCGCGCCCCGCCTCTTCGCCCGCGCCCTCGCAGCGCGCATGCGCCTCCCGGAACAGGTGATGCCCGCGCCCCACGCCCACCCCGTTCTGCGTCGCTCTGTCTCCTCCTTCGCTCTCGGCGCCGATTTAAAGGAGCCCAGTGAAGGCACAGCCGAAAACCCGGGAGAAGCAGCCGACGTTTCTTTCAGGCATATTTCAGGTTGCCTCAACTTGAGTTTCAGCTCGCCACATTGAAGGGGGACGGAGAGGGACTGGAGGGGAGGCTGCTTCTAGCTTTGGCTCCTGGGATTTGTAGTTTCAAAAAAAATTTTTTAAGGGAGGAGTTGGAGAGATCCTACGGAAGGATTTAAGTAATTGAAGATTAACAGGGGAGACTTTGATACCTTTGAAGCAGATTTCCCAAAAGGGGCTAAAAATGGCCCTTTTCATTTAGAGCTTTCACAGAACAGTTAGATTAAAACTATTTAAAATGATACATCAGTACGCAGGTAAAGATTTGAGTGCTTGCAACCTGTCTTGCTCCCTAAAGGGACTACACAAAAGCATTATGGGAAGTTGTGGACCCGGGATATTGCAGTAAAATAAAATTGTACAATATTAACATGTTACAGTGGTATGAAATTTTGAAAACATGGTTTATCTCTCCCGCTTTTTCACAAATGTGACTAGAAGAACCCAACAAGGTAAATTAACAGTCACATAGCTGATTATCAGCAGAGACATAACCAGTAACCACTTTTTCAGATCTACTCCCACTATCCCTCACTCACTTCCCGCCCACACACGCACATTCATGTCTTACTATTACATTTCTTAGAAGGGACTGTTTCAGTTCAACAATGTTCAGCTATTGTGATGAGGGAAAATAAAAAGTTAATAATTGGTAACGATTAAATAAAACAAAGAAATGAGTAAGTTGCTCAGGAAGTAAGTTTCCAAGTTTTTGCAATCATCATTATATAGTTTGATATACCTTCCATTTGTATGAAAACTAAAAAGTGGCAGTTAACAATCTGTGACTACATTTACTTCTTTTAAAGATAGCTACTTATCAAGTGAATTCGAATTACTTGTTGAACTCCTATTAAAATAAATTTTGATTATCTCACAACATACTGAGATATGAATTCCAAAGTCAAAACTGCAGAGTCACTCGTTCAAAGAAGAGAAGGTTCTCAATTATACAAACAAATTATTTTGAGGCAAGTGCAAAATGGTCATACCTCCTAGGAGTGAGTTTGTTTCAAAGAAGGTCATAATTAAGTACACAATCCTGGATCCTAATTCCTTCACGGACAGAATGCATAGCTGCTCCATGATCCAGGCTGCCCTGGGAATCAGTAACATTCCTAGATGGATGTGAGGAAGAGGGAGATGATTCACATGCTGTCTGTTTCCTCATAATAAGCTCAAGTTTTGTGAGAATAAAATATACCTAATGTATTCACATCCACAAACCACAAGCTTCCAAAATTGATAAGATTAATACTGTTTCAAACTCCAGCCCCAGAATAATAAGTATGCCGAGAAAATGTATTGTTAACGTCATATTCTTTTCCATTGTAGATGGAAAGGAGCCTGGGAAGTAATAAGAGAGAAATAAGAAGTAATAATCAATAGGCAAAGTAATGTTGATAGACTAAACAAAAAGTAATAATTTGAAAGATGGAATATTGTAGCCCATTGTGCAAACGTATGCATTCTCCTGTTTTCTTCCTCTTCCCCACAAGCAAACATCATCAGTAAACATGAAAGTGAGATATATGGTGAAAGAGTAATTGGATTGTGAAACCAAGAGATGGTATTTGAGAGATATTTTGATTGTTGACTTTTTAATATAACTTTGCCTTTGGGATCTTTACAACTCTGAGTTTTGAATAATGCCTCTTTTTCCAATCCCTTAGGCTTAAGACTGCCCATGCTTGGGAGGTGTTCTTGATCTAAAGAGAAATAACAAAGCAGAGTCCAACTATTTTTCTTTTGTGTGAATTCTCAGAAATCTAAGGTACAAGAATAAGGAGTCAAATGCAGATAACTTTGTGGAGTTTCTTCTCGCTTACCCAGAAAACTATTGTAATTAGTTTTATTCTTCAAATAAAACGGTGCTATATTCAAAATCCTTTATGCTCTCTGTTTATTATATAATTACTCTAATGGTCATTTATTTGAATTTAAATTTGACAAGCTGATAGTTCAGATATAATTCACATAGATTGATCATGAAATAACTAAATTTCTGAAAATTTCTACTGTTGCATACCATCATGTCTTTCATTTAATTCTAGTCTCAGTTTTCCACGTAGTTTCTAATTTAGTATGTAAGAACCAATATAACTATGATTGATTAAAAAATATGACTAGAACATGATTAATTGGAATAGAGTAGCCCAGTCTTCCCACGCCCTTGTAGGTACCATTCAACCCAGTATAAAATCAGAAAACTAAGTGTGTATGGCCAGATGTACAATATTTGAATAAAGACTTTGAAATAATTGAAGTTAAAATAGTCTTAAAGTATAAAGAAATGCATAATAGCACTAGTTTTTAAATACCTACAATTAAATAATCTTCATATATAACAATTTAGCCTTAGCTAAAATTAATAGTTATATTTATTAAGCTGTTTACCAAGCATAATTTAAATACTGCATTCAATTATTTTTAAATGTTCATATGTCTCTGTTAAAATCATTGTTATAAGAATGCTAGCAAATTTTTTGCAAATTAGACCCTTTCATAACCTAAATTTGAGAGTGTACATAGATTCAGATTTTCTGAAAAGAACTTTACTTACTAAGAATTTACTTACCAATACTTACTAAGAAACTTAAAAAGACTTACAATCTGTGGTACACTTCTTGAAATCAGTTCTAAAGAAATCATTTGAGTACCAAAATTGTTTTGTGGAAAAGATATTTGCTGCAATATTATTTGTAATAAAGCTAAACCAAAAGTCATTTCTGTCTTAACGTAAAACAGAGAAGTAAAATCTAGCACAACTACATTATAGTATTTTATATAAGTATTTATTATAAATACTGCTTGTGAAGAGTTTATTATTACAAAGGACAAATTTTACAAAGTATGTATTTGAAAATATAGGAGGAGCCAGGCACTCACTCTAGGAGACTGAGATGAGAGAATTGCTTAAGCCTGGAATAGGAAACCTACCTGGGAGACATAGCAAAACTTCATCTCTACAAAATTATCAAGGCATGGTGGCGCATGCTTGTAGTCCCAGCTATTCAGAAGGTTGAGGTGGAAGGATGGCCTGAGCTTAAGATGTCAAGACTGCAACAACAGCTGACCACTGCACATTGCATTCCAGCCTGGGTGACAGAGTGAGACCCCAGCTCAAAAAAAGAAAAAAAGAGAACAAAACATAGGAGATAAATTGTAATCAAGTTAGGTTAACATAAATATGCAAAAAATAAAGTAATTAAATCACCAAAGTGAATAGATTAAGCAAATCAGGCAAATAAACTCACAAAGCCTTTATTTATTTAATGACAGAATTACAGGTAATCTTTTTTTTTACTTTTTTTATAATTTTCACATTTTCTGAAGTTAATTTGTAGTCTTTTTATGGTAAAGAAACACCAATAATTAATACTAATCATTTTGAAATAGCAAAATGATGCAATCCATTATGATAGACAATCAAACTACTAACATCTTTTGTAACAAATGCCTTCTTGCATTTAAGAAGCTGCAGAAAAAAATGACTCAGTATATACTTTGTTTTTGTGATGGGACAAGTAATTAGTCTTATTCTTTCTGTATTTAAAAGTTCATGCATTTTGTGTATATATGTATATATATCCATGTATATATAAACGTACACAATATGGATTATCATTTTTACATAGACACATATGAAAATTTTTAAAACATTTTTTCTCTAATAGAAGGTGAGAAAAGATTGCGGTTATTCAGTGGAGCAAGATTCTGCAGTGGCTTAAGGTCCAACACTTCACTTTTTGTTTATTGAGCTGCTTCTAAATTGCTGCTCTTGGCCATTTTATTTTAAAGCTCTACTTTATAGTGGGATTTACAGATACAGTGGAGGAAATTTAAGTGAGATTACAGTTGATGATGAACGGGCTTCTCAATTTTGAGGGAAACAAAAACATGAAAAATGTTTTTGAGAAAAACCTGATAAATTTATTTTTGAATTCTTACATCTGAAATATCAGGCAACTTATTTTCTATTATACTTATTCCAAATTATATGTTTAATTTAAATAAAAGAAAAAATGTAACTTGTATTTAAAAGATGCTAGGCTTGGCATGATAGCTCACATCTGTAATCCCAGCACTTTGGGAGGCTGAGGAAGGAGGACTGTTTGAGCCCAGAGTGCAGGGATGCAGTGAACTATGATCGTACCACTGCACTCCACCATAGGCAGTGGAGCAAGACCCCATTAAAAAAAAAAAAAAAAAAAAAAAAAGCCTCCTATAGACATGTACTGTGTAAAATATTAAGTAATAAAATCAGTTTTTGTGACTTTACAACACTTTGTAAATTGAAAAATGTTTACAAATTAGTCTATAACTTAGATGAACAGCATTATTTATTCATTCATTTTATAAACAAACTTTAGAATTTAGAACCTACTCTTTAAAAAATGGCTATATGTGTGCATGTCTTGTTCTTCATGATTTTCAGATCTTGAAATTCCTCAACTGCTTTTAAATTCTCGCTCTGCATTCTTATAACTATTTGGTAAGTCATAGAATTTTCAAATCTTGAGATTCCTCTACTGTAAAAATGGAGAAAAAAAATACTACTCAGGGTTGTTGTGACAATTGCATTAGAAAAAGATGTGAATGCACTTGTAAACTACAAGAGTAAAATACAGAGTGTGGTAGATTATTACAATAATAGTCCCCAATAAATCACACCTCCCATATTCCACTTCTTTTTACAATGGAACTGCCACAT